TTTTGTTTAAAATATTAGATAGATTTATTTTTGATGAACCCAATTATATAGATTCCATAAATATTAATATTATAATGTAGTGAGATATTCTACACGTTGTGAACTTATATTTCCGAAATCTCATATAATAACTAAAAATTATTATATATATATATATATGTATATATATATATATATATATATATATATATATTAGTATTTACGAGAATCTCGAACACACTCTGCCATTCAATTGTCAATCGTTAGGAAAATAATTTCTCATACTATTAGCAGAAAAACAAAACGATTATGGACTAACCAATGTGCTTGATCACCATTTATGAACATACAAAAAGTTGAGAAATCCATAGTAAGTGCCAAACAAAAAATGGACCAACCTTTCGTTCTTATCAAAGATGTGGAAAGTACAAAGAGAGATATGTTGCAACTTCTGAAAATTCTAAAAGAATTAGAGGAAGAAGATGTTTATGCAATTTGCAACTACAAAGTGGAAAGAAATCTTAGTAAATATGGATCTGCAATTATCAAATACAAAATAATTTTGCATAGAAAAACAAAAATCATAGCCAACCCAACCTATTTCTCTATTTTCCGTTTTGATTTTTGAAATTTTACAACATTTTGTGATGTGAAAAATGTCGATGAGTCTTTACTTTTTGATGAGAATAACTTTCGAATATATTCATTATCATATCTAACAATGATTAAATAAATATTTTTTTATTTCATATGAATGTAGATATCATTGAGTTGGTAGTAGAAATTCAACAAGTGCAATTCAAGCAAGTTGCACGACAACATACCCAAATGATTGACTTTACTCTTCTCGATTTGGAGTAAGTATTTGCATAAAGGTATTTAATTGTTATATACATTTAAGAAAAATTTATTAGTTTGAAATTATTATTTTATCTATTATAGGGACAATACTATTAGTTCTGAGAGTCGTTATAAAGGCAAAGGCTATCCATGAGTTCTCATAATGTAGCTTCGTAGAGCAAGATTGTGTGGTGGTAGTATTAAAAAATTAAAGTATTATAAATTTTGATATTTTTTAATTTTGCTTTTTTATATATAATAATGGTGGAGCACGGCTGTGGGTTGGTTGTATTAAAAACCAATAATGTTATGTACAAATAGGTTTTTAATAATGTATGACTTTTTTTATGACGAATATTTTAGATCAAGTGACAAATGCTCTACGTATTATACGTTATTGATTAATAACCTTCAATTTATAAATTTTACCAAAACAAATACAGCCCGTGCATCGCACGGGTTACATACTAGTTATTTATGATTTGGTTTTATTTATGCAATAAAAAATTATATGTAACGTGTATGGTGCAAATTTCTCTAAGAAAATCACCCCATACATTATCCAAAACATAAAATATTGAATATATACTAACATAATTTTTATTGTGAACACATAAAATATGATAAATATTTGCATGCCTATCATATTTTCTCAAATTTTAACTTTTTTATTTTAAATAATTATTAAGATAGTTACATGTAATTGGTAACGAATGTGAGCTTTTGAAAGGAGATCCAAAATATCTTCGTCCACACAACACCTTGGTTCAGTGAAGGAATACGACATAAGGCTCTAAGGTTATGAAGCTCATTTTCGGTCTCATCAATCGAGTAGCTTCTCCGAGTCTTTGGATTTTTAAGTGATACGACATACCTATTCTATATTCCGTTGCACATAAGATGGTTTGAATGGATCCTTAGCTTTTGGCATATTTTATCAATCAAACACGTTTTTTGTTTCATCCCTTGTTACAAAGTTAGTTATTGGGAGCGAATCACTAGACGTTTAGGCGAGAGCCTCAGTCTTTGAAACAAATTGTAATAGATTTGACGTTGATCATAAGACTTTATAAGATTATCCTCAAAGCCATAGATCTTCTTCTATTTTTCGTTGATATTTTATTACAATTTTATTATTTTCTCAGTTCATAGTAATTCTTAGTTATTTTTATCCTAATTGAATATAACGTTTAGGACTATTTTCTTCTTTTGTGTGACATCAAAATATCAATCTGAGATTCAAAATATCGATCTGATGTCGCGACGCCCTGTGTGTTGTCACAGCGCGGTACATCTCGTGCCGCGGAACTTGGAATTCATGTGGCCTCTGTTGGGCTGCGCCGAGCATCATAGCGTGATGCTCGCGCGGCGCCCTAATGCTCGCGCAGTCGCTCGACGTGTCTTCAATGGTACGTGGTCCTTCCAGTTGTGCACTCGTCGGCTGCGTGGTCCTCGATGGTGCGTTTGTCGTTGTCCTTGTGCACTTGCACCCGGTTATCCCACCTCCTTCATACAAGCTCGACGAGCTCTATTACAAGCATTCTTGAGCATCCGTCCACCGTCTGCATCATGCATCGCCCACCCCCGATACGATTTTGCTAGTTGATTTACTTCATAATTCGAGAAAAATGTGGTTCAACCGGAAATATTGATGCGTTCACTATCATTTTGTTGCTTGTTCATTTAAATTTACACCTAATAAAAAATGGAGGATTGCCACATAAAATAAAACCTCTCGAAAAGAACCTTCTCAGCCTTTATAAATTCATAAAGTATTTAAGCCTTAATATAGATATAGATTAAAGGGAATGATATGGGGACTTTTGTTCAATAACATTGCCATACTAAAAAGGCCATATACATTTTATTTAGTGGTGGCTTATACCATCTCCACTATATCCAGCAAGTGACAATAAAGAACAAAAAGGTATACATCTGTACTTACACATTAAATTCGGTGGGCCCTAACTCATATAATTCCCCCAAAAATATTCTAATTTGAGGTTGTATTTTAAATTGGTCATATGTTCGAATCATTATGATATGCAACAGAAGTATGGAACACGCTTTATATGGTGTACTATTGGGTACAACCTCACAACAGAAGTGTGCGGGCATGGGCAGGAAACGAGCCTCCACTGTCTTAGGGACTGCAGCCACGCTAAGCGTACTTGGAAGAATCTTCTCCCAGCCCAACATCACGCTTCTTTCTTCAGCCTGGACTTATGTGATTGGGTGAGTCAAAATTTGATTAATGCGCTGCATGTGCACGTGGAGGATTGGTGCCGAGTCTTTGGTGTCACTTTATGGAGATTATGGCAGGATAGGAATGCCTTCATTTTTGACGGGCAGAGTCTTAACGTTCAACGGCGAGTGGCGACAATCAGTAAGTTGGTTGATGGAATTAACTCTGCTATTTTTTCCACAAAAGAAATGGGAACGTTGTTACACAAAGAACAAATATGGCTATCCTGGTCGAATCCACCAGCGGGGGTTGTTAAAGTAAATACGGACGGCGCTTTCAATCGGCAATCGGGAATGGCGTGGGCAGGCGGCTTAGTGCGTGATGAATGGGGTAGGTGGATATCCGGGTTTGCGATGAACATTGGGTTTTGCTCAATCATAGGTGCGGAGCTATGGGGTTTATTCCAGGGACTAAATTTGGCGTGGGATAAGGGGCATCGGATAGTTGTAGCCGAGGTTGATAACAATAGTGTGGTGAAGATGGTGCTTCAAGATGCGGTCCCGACCGGGGTTTCCAGTTCTATCATTTCAGGGATTCGCGACTTGTTGGCTAGGGAGTGGAGAGTAGAGATTCGCCATATCCATCGGGAAGAAAATTTCGCAGCCGACTTTCTCGCGGCGTTGGCCTCAACCATGCCGACCGGGCTCCACGTCCTAAATGACCCACCCACGGGGGTTAAACCGTGGTTAACTCACGATATCATAGGAGTTTCTTATGCTCGTAATATAGTTGTCTAAGGCCATCGCCTCCTTCATTGTACCAAAAAAAAAAGAGTGGATATCGAAAGGATGAAACCAACAAGTGGTGGGGCAAAACTATAAAGATGGCATTGACACGAGCTTAAAATTCGTATTCTTGATGAAGATTTTTAAGTTTTTAAATTATCATAATCTTATGATCCAATTTATATAATAATACTAATAATTTTCTAAAATCTGTTTAGAATAGTAAATGCATGTCATGAATGTAATTCTTTCGGCTTTTGTGTAGGCGGTTTCGAAGTTTCGGTAATTGTGCCTGGGCTCGAGATCTTTTTTGAATTGATTGTTCTTTGCTGGTCGGGCTCGTTTGTTAGTTGGGGAAAGGCTTGATTATGGTTATTTTGTTTTTTGTCCTTTTCGTTTGTGTTGTTTAGGCTTGTGTTTTTGGTTTGGACCGTTGGTCCCTATAAGCTCGAGTGTGAGCGGGCTACCTCGTTGGGGGTCATTCCACATTACTCCATTAGGGATCGTTCCGCTTTACTCTGTTTGGGGTCGTCTTAGTTTAGTCTTTGTGTTGTGTTGTTTTGAGATTGTTTTATAGCGTTGCTAGTCGGGCTCTAGGCTGTCTTATGACCTGTCCTCCCAATTTTTAACTATTGGATGTACTATTCAGCTAGGGGCTATGTACTTTGCACATTTTTATTTATAATATTCTCTATCGTTTCGTTAAAAAAATAAAAAACATCTCTGACTCGTGCATCACACGGGTTACATACTAGTCCGTCTTAAAACAATGTCAAATTCTAGTCTTCATCTAAATTATATTGAATTTTGTTTATTTATTTTATTTTATTAACGTTTTCTTATTACATCTTGATTATAATATTGCACTTTCTTTTATCAGTACTAAATTTATAAAATATCTATTTCTTTAACTACACAGATTCCAGGGAAAAGGGAAAAAAAGATAGTAAAAGGAGGTGAGGTAGGCAAAATGGGTGACTATTAAACACTCCAACAGCATGAGAAGGCACTTTGCAGTTATGCCCACCACATTTTCTCAGTTCTGCTTTCTGCATCAAATTTGTACAAAACCTTTGTGCAGAATTTTACTACACTTAGCCACTAGTTATCTACATAGTTACACACACAAACAACAACAAGGGTTGCCTACACAACAACATATGTTCATAGTCTTTTGTTCTCAAAAGCCTCCGAACCTCTTATCAACCGAGTCAGTCCATTGCTCTAGCTTCTTCATCACTCGTCATCCATGGATGTCCTGATTTAAATTTATTGTAAAGAAATTTTAATATCATGTTACAACACACTCGGTCGCATGCGTGTAGGATCGGTTTCCTAAAACAAATTCTCCTAAATCATCATCGTACGAAGAGAGAAATCAACAACAATAACGCAAAACAAAGAGAAAACGTAGAAAGAAAGAAAGAAGGAAAAACGCATATCCCGTTTCACCTTGTGTTTTAGCACATCACGTAAATGTCACGTGTACCACAATGACATCATCATATACAGATGGCATTCACATTCACCTAAGTGTACGAATTTACAAGAGTAAATGAGATTTGTCATCCGTAATAAACAAACAAACAAACATTATGAGAATAATACAAAAAATTCCAAGCGCGTATAAGTAAACAAAAGGAGTGCTTACTCAAAACTTGGTCGGCCGAGAACCTCCTCGACACATCCTTGCAGAGCATCCTCCTCAGCAAGTCCTTAGCATCCGGTGAGATCGACCCAAAAACGGCCCGGGGAAATCTCAAATTTGCCCTTAGCACGGCCTCAAAAATATCCCTAGCCGACTCTCCATAGAAAGGTGGGATCCCAGATAGCATTATGTACAAGATCACGCCTGCACTCCACACATCAACTTTCTCACCGTATTCCATTCCAGCCACCACCTCCGGAGCCACGTAGTAAGGTGTCCCCACAATGCCAGACATCAAACCGCTGTTGGCAAAGCACTCGGCTGAACCAAAGTCGGCGAGTTTGAGCTCGTCGTAGGAGTTGAAGAGGATGTTGTCAGGCTTGATGTCTCGATGGGCCACTCCTCGATCGTGGATGTGAGCCACTGCCTCCATTAGTGGTACCTATATAAATTGAAATAAATTTAAATTATAAAAAGGGAAGTAACATGAAGAATTGGTTTTATATTTGGTGCCATCTTTGCAGTTACAACTTGTATGCAACTATGGAACTCTTACTATGATCTGAGTTTACAATTTGCAAGTGGGCCAAGTGAAAATGACACAAAGAATGATGCAAGTCATCCAAGGATATATTTTCTTGCTTTTTTTTTTGGGTGAATATGAAATGATCAATAAAATTAGGTAAAGTAGAGTTTTGTTCATCATTTAAGGTGAAAAGAAATTTCCAGAAGCAACATTGGCCGATTAATAACAAAGAGACAGAGAGAGAGAGAGAGAGAGAGAGATTTTGCTGAATTTTTCATCTAGCTGACAATTTTCCTTATCAATGAAGAAATTTATTGGGAGAAAAAACAGAGAAACTACAAATGAAGAAATAAAACGAGAAAAGTCTTCATCTTCCTTCAGTATTCATACATTATCATTCAAACAACCTACTAAAAGAATCAATTAGAAGGAACTGTAGAGGTCTATCAGGAACAAAATTACTTTTGTTAATCAAGAATATGTACACAGTTGAAAAGAAAAGAAACGAAAAGAAAAAATATAAGAGAAACAGAATTTCATATTCGAAAAAACAAAATGGATTTTGCTCACCAAAAATCGACGCCGCACACAGTTTTTTTCCACCATCCTTTTCAACCAATAAATCTAAATTAAAATCAACAATCTAATTAAGTCCGGTAACAAAAAGCTAAACACAAGACCTCACCATCACTCGGCGGGCCTCCGATTCAGAGAACACGGGCCGGGCCGTAATCCGCTGGAACAGATCTCCGGCTTCGCAGTACTCCACCACGATATGAAGGAACTCGTCGTCCTCGTAAACATCGAAGATCCCGAGCACATTCCGGTGGCCGCAGGCGAGCTGCATGAGCTTGGCCTCGTTTTGGAGACAAAGGCCGTCGACGGCGTCGTCCTGGATGAGGCGCTTCTCGATGGACTTCACGGCGAAGCACTGGCCGGTGGCGGCGGAGTAGCACCTCGACACGACGCCGTATCTGCCCCGGCCGATCTCCTCACACACTCGGTACTCTCTCTCTAGAGCTGCACTCATCACGCTTTTTTCGCCTTTTCGTTTCTCTCACTTAATTTCTCACTCCAGAAAGGATAGCGCAGTACGTACGGTGGGTGGGGGTGAGGTACGTTTATAGAGAGAGAGAGAGAGAGAGAATGGTAGTTGAAATTTTTTTTTTTTTGGTACAAAGAAAGAGGCCGAAGGCCTACGCTAGAACTTGCCTGGGGTAAGACACCCCAATATTATCATGCTCCAACCATGCACCTAATCCACTAGGCGGTAACGACGCTCGATGCAGGCCAATTGGGTAGGAAAACGCCAAGCTCGCCAAATGATCAGCAGCGAAGTTCGCTTCTCTATGAACATGTTGCACACGAACCTCCCAATCCCTCTTTGAGAAGGAATATTCGGGTAAATCGAGAAGAGCCAATCACGTGCCAATTCGTGTTCACGGCGTTGACGGAGAATTGACGGAGTTTATCTTCAGGAAGTTTTTGTTGCCCATTTTTTCTCTTTATATAACGGATTAGACGGCCAACGGATTGTATTAATTTTTTGTGTTAATTGCGTAAAAAAAAAAAAAATCCCAAACATTTTGTTTAATTGCAAATAAAATTTAATTTTTACAATTTTACAACAAAATATCAAACCTTTAGTAACTATTACAATTTTGTCTCGAAAGCGAATTTCAGCAATGCACGCTGACATTGATGATCGGAAATCTTACTTGGCATTGATGGCGTTTGTGTGGCATTCTTGTTGCAGCGAATTTTCAACATCACCCTCCAAATCTTGTGCCAATAAATCCAATTTTTCCACATCATATTCATCCTAATTCCCCCAAATGATCATGTAAGCTCGGCTGATAATGGAAACAACTCGAATATGGTTAGACAGAGCAGCTCACCTGTTGGGTTTTTTAATGGTAACTTTAATTTATTTCTTGAAAAGTTGGGTTTTTTAATTGCAATTTTAATTTTTTTTTTCCTTGCAAATTTCAGCGATTATTCCCTGTTTTTCTTGTGTTCTGTATTTTGTATCTCTACAAATTATTTGAGGGAATTAAAATGACTATGAAGTGGAAAAATTAGATTTATTGGCACAAGATTTGGAGGGTGATAGTTCCCCGTGGAGCCATGCATGAACGTCTGATAACGAGGGCCCACGTCACCTCACACATGTTTTTTTTAGAGGATCTTCGGCGAAGACCGCCAGAGAGTCGTAGTAAGCGTCATCACCCGACTTGCTGACGCCCCTGGCGAACATTGAGCGTGAGCAGCTCAACCAAAGGCACGTTGTCTATCGATGCTTGACCTCGCCTCACGAGAAGAAATACAGCTCCCCTCAAGACTTGGGTGTTGTCGTCGTACATGTTGTAGTTGTTGGGGAGCCAAAACTTGGCACCACGGGTCGCCCGACCCCCGAAAAGCTGCAGCCCCCAGTGCGGCCGAACTCGCAGGTGCTATGCGACCTGCCGTCTTGCCCGCCACAACCCCTTGCGTGGGTAATGCGCCTGCAACACCTACTCGCGTTGCAGGGGTGAAAGATGGTCGTCCCGTCACGTGAGTTTCTGCTCGATAAGAAGATCGTGCTGATGCGCGTCCAATTGAATCTGACACAAACAAGTTCAATGTATCCTGAATCAGCAACCGCAACCTGCCGATATAATGAGAGATGAGTTGTTCGGTCGTCTCTTGCACATTGACACGTGTAAGAAGGCGATAAGTCTCCTCGTGCAATCTTCCACCGAGCGTGAACCTTGTTGCAAATTTTGTAAATGTTGATAAGTGGTACAAACCTAATTAAATGAAGGAACTCACGTTCTATGTGCTTCTGAAACTTCACCCAACATATTGTAACTTTCGGTTTCTCAAGCCAGCGTCGCGAGTCCTTGTGATGTTTCCACAATGTGGCGGACTAGCCGCACGAGCGAGTTGCGACCAAAGCCACGCATGGTCATCCGGCACCTCCTTATAGTCGAGGACAGACTCGACTATTGCCATCCAATCGAGAAAATCCGACGTGTCCAAGCCGTCGGAGACCTCCGCAATATCGACGCGAAAAAGACGAAACCCACCAACGATCGTCGGCACGAAAATCATCGTCTCGCGTTTGATGACCAAAAGGGTTGAGATCTAAGAAGGTGTCTTCGCCGTTACTCTCTCCGACCCACGAGTGAGGCAATCGAGAAAGAATCACCCCGTGAGGACCCCGGTCACGACCCCCGCACATCCTACCGCAACCCTCGCCGTGGGCACGATTCATCCAATCACGTGGAACAGTGATACGGCCGGCCAGTCGCATCTCGTCGAACCCTGCGACCAAGTCCGCAATCTGACGTCCCATGAGATTGATTCGCCGGTCAAAGCCTGCGATGATCTCTGCGACATGCCGACTCAATGACTCAATGGCGGCGTCACGTCTTTCATCTATAGTCTCGGTCCTCTTCGACTGCATCTTTTATTGTACTAGACTTTGGATATCATCTGATATAGCGCAACGTAACGAACGAGAAAAGAACAAGAAAAACTCTCAACTGGTATATTTTTTATTCAAACTGATCGATCTCCCCAAAAGAAAATGAGAAATCTTCTTAGATAAAAATCCTACCCAGCCCTAGGTTACTTAATTGGTCTACCAAGACAAAAAAAAAAGGAAAATAAATAAAATATATTCACCTATCATCTAAATAATACAAATAAATGTAATAACAATAACGATGATAGAAATAAATACAAATAACTAGACTAAGAAAAACCAAATCAATTATGTATATCAAAAAATGCAAAGACAATCTCATCTTCATTACACATCTTTTCAATTTATTTTTTTTTCTCTACATAGATATAACTATGTAAGTCGGATTGTTTTGTCCCACTTCGTGTCATGTTTGAGACGTATTAAATTTAAAATTATCACGTGGTCCATAAAAGCATATGACACTTCCCTATCTTCCCAATCAAGGAGGCAAAACGTGGCCCATAAATTTATATTTTGTTATAAAAGCCAAACTAAGTACCGTTTGGTTGCGGTCAATAGACGAGAAAAATATTTGGTTCATAGCAGCTTGTTCTGCGGGATCATGATATCCCAACTACTAGTGTACGCCAAAAAAGACGGAGAACATGTAGCGGATTATTTGGCTTCGTTGGCGGCTAAAGCTCAACGAGTAGTGTTTATAGGTTAGAGCATTCCTTGTCGGGATAAGCATATGGTTGCACCATTATAGGATTGGAATGCCGTATCTTGGGACGAATTTTATCTAGGCTTGAGTAACCTCCTTGCTTGTACTCAAAAA